TTTTGCAGTGCTGGGGATCAAACCAGGGCCTCATTCATGCTAGGCAAATGCCCCACCACTGAGTCATACCACCAGCTCCCATCTATAACCTCTCGATACTTGTCCTGCAAGGGTCCCATGGCAGTTGGGTTTTGTTTTGTCTTTTTAGTGATAAAGGCAACCCAGGGTTGCTTTATCACCCCAGCCTTTCATATTTTTTAGAGACAGGGTTTTGCTAAATTGCTTAGGGCCTAGCCATGTTGCTGAGGCTGGCCTTGAACTTGTAATCCTCTTACCTCAGCCTCCTGAGTTGCTAGGATTACAGGCCTGCACCACTGTGCTAGGTTTCCCATGGTAAGTGGATTCCACACTCACCCTCTGCCTGCCCCAAAAGAGAGGACTCACCAGCCCGATGTGGTTGCAGGACAGGTTAATGCTGGTGAGCGTGGTGTTGATGGCAAGCACCTGGGCGAGGAGCGTGGCTGTAGGCTCGGACAACTCATTGCCACCAAGGTTCAGTGTGGTAAGGCACTTGTTGGTCTGCAAGGCATGGGCAAGTGCCTGGCCGCCCTCATCTTCCAGGCAGTTGAGGCGTAGGTTGAGGGAAATGAGGTTGGTGTTGTGCGCCAGGGCGTGAGCCAACGACTGCGCGCCCGGCCCACGCACTTGGTTATTGGCCAGGTTAAGCACGCGCAGGCGGCTGTGGCTGAGCAGCTTTGCAGCAGCACGTGCACCACGGTCCCCAATGAGGTTGTGCGACAGGTCCAGCTCCCTGAGGGCTGGGTGGTCAAGCAGGCTGCGGATCAGGATGCGGGCCTTCTCATCATCCACCTTGCTTCGAGTCAGCCTGAAGATCTGCGGGTAGGTGGAGGGTCTATAGCACCTGCCAACAGGGCAGGCTGCCCACCTGCCCCGCTTTTGCAGGTAGAGAAGGTACCAAAGGTAGTTACGAGGAGGTCTGAGACTCTGTTCCACTGGTATTGGCCACCCAGCTGGTTCTTGGACAGGACAGGTCTACCTAGTGGTACAGAATTGATGGTAGGTGGCAGAGGGACATGTTATTCCTTTTTTTTTTTTTTTTTCTTTTTCCCAATACTGGGGATTGAACCTACTGGTGCTCTACCACTGAGCTACATCCCATCCCTCCTTTTTAATCCCCATCCCTTTGTTAACTTTCTTTTTTTTTTGGAGGGGTACTGGGGATTGAATCCAGGGGCTCTTAAGCACTGATCCACGTCTCCAGCCCTTTCTTACATTTTAGTTAGAGACAGGGTCTCACTGAGTTGCTTAGGGCTTTGCTAAATTGCTCAGGCTGGCTTTGAACTCATAGTCCCTCCTGCCTCAGCCTTCGAGCTGCTGGGATTGCAGGGGGCACCACGGCTGGGCTGCTTTGTTTTGTTTTACTGCTGGGAATGGAACCTAGAGCCTGGCTCTTGCTAGACACATGCTCTACCATTGAACTACACTGCCAACCCTAAGGACAGGAACTCTTGAAAGAGGTTAGCTGGGGAGAGAGGAAGTGGGGAGGGAGGGTGAGAAACACTAAATAATGGAATGAAAAAATAAAAGGTACAACCAGAGATATAAAAAATTGTTCTGTATTTGTGTAATAAGAATTGTAATGCATTCTGCTGTTGCTTATTTTTTTAATCAATAAAAAAATAAAAAATAAAAGGAAGATGGTGGGGATAATATTATGAATGTTGTGGATAGGAGCCCGACCCTCTGCTTCCCACTGGCTGGTCCCTATCCTCTGTCTCCCTTCAGACTTCTCTGTGGCTGGCCTCTCTCTCCCTACCTTTTAATTCTTTCCTTCCTTTACTGCCCTCTTAGCCAGGTTAAAGCTTGGTTAAAATCCTCTTGTATTTTTATTGCATTTACCTGATGAAGCCCGGAATCTGGATCAGCCTCGCTCTCTATTTTCTGCATGCCTGTGCCCAGTCAACAAACAGAATGGAAAATGTCCCCTGATGGGACTGATTGGTATCACTGGCTCCACCAGCAGGCCTTCAGTGCTGTGTACCTATGCAACTTTACTTCTCTGGACAACAAACTCTCTCATAATCTACAATGATTATTTTATTTTATTTTACTTATAAATATTGCTTGGTACCAGGGATTGAACCCAGAGGCTCTCTACCATTGAGCTGCATCCCCAGCACTTTTCATTTTGAGACAAGATCTCAATAAGTTGCCCAAGCTGGCCTTGAATTCGTGATCCTCCTGCCTCAGCCTCTTGAGTTCCTGGGTTACAGGCATAAGTCACCATACCCAGCTTTACAACAATTATTGTTGTTGTTATTATTATTATTATTATTAGGTACCAGGGGACTGAACCCAGGGGCATTTTACCACTGAGCTACAGCCCAGATGTTTTTGAGTTGCTCAGGCCTCAATAAATTGCTGAGGCTGACCTTGAACTTGCTGTCCTCCATCCTCAGCCTTCTAAACCCCTGGAATTGCAAGCATGCACCATTGTGCCTGGCTACAATAACTATTTTAACCTTTTCCAACCTCAGACTCCAAGGGGCCTCCCTACAGAACTCCCTTTCAGCTTGTGGACTCTCCTGACTTCTCAGCAACTAAATGGGATCCTATTTCTGATATCAAACACACACCCACTGCTCCTCACCACATCCTCATTTCCACTGCCCAAGGCCAACTGCCTCACATCAGTGCTAGGTCCCACTGTTCTTGCCTTTTCAGAATTTTCCCTGATCCATGGACCTGGACTTCTCCCCCGCCAGCTGTTTTTTTTTTTTTTTTTTTTTTTGGGGGGGAGGTACCAAGGATTGAACTCAGGGGCACTCAACCTGAGCCACATCCTCAGGGTCTCACTGAGTTGTTTAGCACCTCGCTGTTGCTGAGGCTGGCTTTGAATTTGTGATCCTCCTGCCTCAGCCTCCCAAGCCGCTGGGATTACAGGCATTCGCCACCTTGCCTGGTCCTCCAGCTGTTTTTAAATTGTTTAGGGCCTCACTAACTTGCTGAGGCTGGCCTCAAACTTGCTATCCTCCATCCTCAGCTTCCTAAACTCTTCCTCTTCCCTCTCCCCCTCCTCCCCTTCTTTTTCTCCTCCTCTTCCTTATTCTTCCTCTAAAACTATCTTTTTAATTTTTTCTACTTTTTTTTAATTGGTGCATTATAGTTGCACACACACTATGGTGGGACTTGTAGTTACACAGTCCTACTGGTACCTTTCTTCTGCATTTTCCCCTTTTATGCAGGTGGATGGGGCCTTGCTTTCATTCTAAACATGCAAGTTTCTTAAGAAAACCCAAAGCCCTCATCTATCACCGCTCTCCTCATCTCTGCTTCCCAGTGGAGTTCTCCAAGAAGCTGGTCTCAGCCGCCCCCTTTCTCACTTCCCACTCTCCCCATGAACCACACTCACAGCTTGTGCTCCTGGAACGCCTCTGAACCTCCTCTCAGGGACGTCCAGGTTTGCAAAGGCCAGTCCTTGGCTGCACCCTACCCCATTGCTCACTCCCTCTACTTGAAACACGTGCCTCTGTCGCTCCGTGACACAATGCCATCTCCCCCTCTACCTGCCTGCAAGCTCTTGCCGTCAACACCACATGCCAAGTCTCTCCTTTCCTCACGCTTGGTTCTCCCTTATGAGACTCCATCCAAATGCAGGCCTTCACCAGCCATGTTGAGAACACGGCACCCGTTTCCATGTTCAATTCAGACTCCTCAGCTGAGTGTCGGACCCTCTATCCAACTAACAAGATGACCCCTGCTCTAGGATGTCTCACACTGGAACTCAAAACAGGGGTCCCCTTCAAGACAGGAGTCCCGGATCCCCTGTCTCTGCCTGCAGCCCCCTCCAAACATCTGGTCTCAGGAGCAAGAATCCTTGATGTCTCCTGCTGCTTCCTTCTCTTCTACATCCTTCTGAGGCCAGCGAGACCTAACCCTAACCCTAACCCTAACCCTAGCCCTATTGATCATACTGCCTACGTACCTCTTGAATCTCCCCACCTCTGCAGACACTTCCATGGTTCAAACTACCCTCATCTCATCTGTGTTTGGCAGTGGTCTCCCAGGTCACCTGCCATATCCACTGTTGCCCTTCCCATTCTCCTTCCCAAACATGGTCATCTTTTCATAGGTACGATCCAATAACATGAGCATCCTTTTGACTGACACCCTCAGATAGTGCTATGGTTTGTCCTCATTGTGTTGGAGACTTCATCACTAGTGTAGTGAACCTTTAGGAGGCGGAGCCTAGTGGATGGTGGTGGGGTCACCGAGAGTGCTTCCCTCAGAAGAGATTAATGTAGTTCTCCTGGGACCCCATAAGAGCAGGTTATTATAAAGTGAGACCACCCCATGCGCTTGGTTTCTTCCTTACCTGTTTCCTTTTCTGCTTCTCTACCACATTGTGGAGAGGAAAAACAAGGGGTGGTGTCATGCTGTATGGACCCTTCAGCCACCAAAATTGTGAACCCAAAACACTTTTTCCCCACCCCCATGCATGCCAGGCAAGCACTCAACCACTGAGCTATATCCTCAGCCTCCACCTCTTTTCTTCATAAAGTACCCAGCCTCAGATATTTTGGTATAGCAACAGAAAGCTGACTGATCCAGATGGTGCCCCAGAGCTCCTCAGGATAAAGATAGATTCCTTGACAAGGCTTCCTTCCCCCAGTGATTCCAGCCGCTGATTGGCTCTCTCTTTACCCCATCCCTGTTCCCCCATATTCATGGCTCTAGCCACACGGCCTTCTCTTCAGGCCCTGGAATTAGCTGTATTGACCATGCCCAGGGGCCTGTATGTGCTGCTCCCTCTCCCCGGAGTGAGCTTGTCTCTTTCCTCAAGACTATAACTCCCACTCTTCCTTATAATCTCTACACAAGTGACACTTTCTCAGGGTAGCCTTCCTGAACAAGGTCAAATGTCCCTTTTATAATCTCTCATAAGAATGTCTTTTCTGTGGGCTGGGGCTGTAGCTCAGTGATAGAGCACTTGCCTAGCATGTGTGAGGCACAGGGTTCAATCCTCAGCACCGCATAAATAAATAAATAAATAAAGATTTTTTTTTTTAAGAATGCCTTTTTTTTTTTTTTTTTAAAGCATACATTTCATCCCAGTTTAGGGTTGCCAGAGGCAATACAAGATGGCCCGGTGGGGGTAGCTCAGTGGTAGAGCAGGTGTTTAGTGGGCAAGAGACCTTGGGTTTGATTTCTAACAGTCCAACAGTCCAACAAACAAACAAACAAGGCAAACAAAAAGCACTAAAACAGGATGCCCCGTTCAGTTTAAATTTCAGATGAACGAGTATGTCCCATGGAATATTTGGGACATAGCTTCTAAAAAATTTGTTATTTTTCTGAAATTCAGATTTAACTGGACATCCTGTATTTCTAATCGCTAAATTTGGCAACCCTTCGTCTAGTTACAATTTTACATTTATATGATTGCTCATTAGTGCCATTCATCCCTCCAGACTGTTAGCTGCAGAGGGCACAAATAGTATAATTTTGCTCTCTGGATCTTCAGCACCTGGGACAGGGTCTGGAGCACAGATGTTTGTAGGATGACTAACTGGCTGGCGAACTGAGTCTCCTTCATCTACATACCCTGAAACTAGTTGCTTGATGCAAGATGCATTTTAAAAAACAGTCAAGTCTGGGTCTGGAGGTCTGAGCCTATGCTTAGCATGCCTGCCTGAGGCCCTGGGTCCAATCCCCAGCACCCCAGCAAACGCCCCCCAAACTCCTAGGTGGATGTATGGGAAAAAAAAAATGGGAAGAAGCAGATGGTAGTAGAGAAGGGAGAGGAGGGAATCCGGAAGACACTGGGGAGAGGAGGTGGGGCTACGCAGGGGGCAGGTGGTACCTTAAGGGTGTGGCATGCCTTGATGGTGGCCGCCAAGGAGTGACAGTCTCGGTAGGTGAAAAGGAAGAGGTTCCACTCGAAGTTCATGCCACAGTCTTTGACACCGTACACCAGGTCCAGCTCCTCCAGGTGGATCAGGCCGGCCACCAGATCGCCCAGCTGGTAGTGGTCCATGGTGGGCTCCTCCGAGTCCACCTCGCTTTCCGACTCGGACGGCTCCCGGGTCAGCGGCGAGGTTGGGAGCTGCACGGGTGGAAGGAACTGATCCACACGGATCCTGCGCACGTAGTTCCTGCAGAGGGGCAGCAAGTCGAGGATGACGCTGGGGTCCGTGGTACCCGGGATGAAGTGCTTCAGCAAGTTCTCCAAGTGCCTCTCGAAGAACATGTGTTTCCAGCTGCCGCCATGCTTGGACACGTGGCACACCGGCCAGCGCTTGGTGCAGCAGCGACGCCAGTAGTTCTCATCCTCGATCAAGTTGGCGGTCACAGCCAGCGGCAGATCAGGGGACAGGTGGTTCAAGACCTTCTGCTGGTGCTCTGGGAGCAGCTGCTTCAGGATAGGGTTTTCTTGGGGAGTAGAGGAAGGAAAACAGGGGTCTCAGTGTTGGGGACATGACAACATGGTTCCCTGAGGTTGGCTTTCCTGGGGGCACTGAGGAAAGGAAAGACCCTCTTTGCCCTTGGGGAGCTCCACTCCGAAAGGAGAGACAGCCTTTGCTCTAGGAGGCTCAATGGGAGGGGAGATGAGAAGTCACAGCCCGAGAATATTCCCTGCCTGCAGCTGGACAGCTCAGTATCTGGGCTCAGGGAACCCAGGTCCAGGATAAATCTCCACTCCAATCCTCCATGACAACCTCGTCAGATGGAGGAGATAACTCCTGACTCCCAGTCTGACCTGATTCATTTATTTGAAAGCAAATATATTTGCTTTAATACCTACTATGTGCCAGACACTTTCTAAGCGCTGGAAATATAAACATGATGAAGCCCCTCCCCCTCAGAGTTGACATTCCAGCCAGCAGAGGGCCACAGTAAATGAGGCCAGGTGGCAGTAGTTGCTGGAGGCAAATGATGCTCCTGTCCTCAGAGAGCCCCCCTGCTATGGGAGGGGCTGGCAGTCCTCTTTGGAAAGGATTAACATTTTGGGATCAGAGGGTACAGAACAAATGAGGAGGAACCCACACAAACCATGGGAGACTCCATCTGGGAGGAGGGGTTAACCAGGGAGGGCCTTCCAGAGGAGGAGGTGAATTTGGTTCAGGTCAGGTTTTGCTGGAGAGTGTGGACAAGACTGGGAAAGGACACAGGGGTGGCGGTTTGCTGTGTGGGGGGGTGGTTGCTGTGGAGGGGGTGGGGGTGCTGCTGTGTGGGTGGGAGTCTGGTGGGGCCCGAAAGTGAGGCAGCACCAGACATTGTCTGGGTGCCTGGTGAAAGGGAAGTGCCCAACAGCTAGGAGGATGCTACCAGCGGGTGCAGGCTGCCCCAGGACCTTGCTTCTGGGGGTCTCCACACCAGGAAGCCTCCACTCCTGCCTCCCTCCTGGTCTGCTCCTGCCCTCCCAAGCCCAAGCTGGGCAGGCTCACTCTCGAAGTTCTTGATGATGTGCTGAATGCAGAGCTCTGTGAGGAGGGGCACAATGGCCAGTGACCACTCAGCATCCTCAGCGATGATCCGGCGCATGTGACGCACATTTGTGGGCTTGCTCTTTGCTGGGAGTGGGCCTGAGGAGGACACGGTCTTCGAAGGCTGTGGTCCTGAGGAGGACACGGTCTTCGAAGGCTGTGGGCCTGAGGGGGACAAGGTCTTCGAAGGCTGTGGGCCTACGTTTGAAATCTGGCTTGCAGTGGGCGGCGGGCCCTGGTTGGAGGATGTGGACTGGCTGGGGACGGACACTAATGGTGGTGTTAGGGTGCCCTGCATGCTGGGGCGTGGCAAGGAAGGAACACAAAGCCCCTTGGTGACCTTGCAACAGGAAACTTCTCAGACTGGCCGGTCCTTGGTTCAGATGGGGACCTAGAGCAAAAGAATGGGAGGGAGGGGTACAGGTGTTACTTTGGAGGATCTCAGCAGAGTGGTGCTTAGCTGTCAGGGTCTGGAGTGGAGTAGATCCAGGTATAAATCCCAGTGTGGCCTTGGGCCAATTACTGGACCTCTCTGAGTTTCAGAGAGGTTAAATGAAATTTTACCCTGTGAAATAAGGGTTACAGGACCAATAGGATTATTTGGAGGAGTGAATAAAATAATACAAAGAGGTATTGTATATTGTCTAATACATGGAACTGTAGCAAGGAGCAGCCCAAATTTTTAGATAATAATAGTTACACAGGAATTACAGTCATTGCTATACACCCACTCTTTTTTTTTTTGGTACAGGGGATTGAACCCAGGGGCTCTTATCCACTGAGCCAAATCCTAGCACCCCCTTTTAAAATACATTTTATTTAGAGACAGGGTCTTGCTGAGTTGCTTAGGGCCTTGCTAAGTTGCTAAGGCTGCCTTTGAATTTGTGATCCTCCTGCCTCAGCCTCCTGAGCTGCTGGGATTACAGGTGTGTGACACTGTGCCCAGCTTCAGTTTTTTAATGTATATTAACTCATCCTTACAAAAGTTTTCTAGGTATAGGTACTTGTATTTTCCCCATGATTCTGATGAGAAACTGAGGTACAGAGAAGCTAATTGATTTGTTCAACGTCACACAGTTTATAAATAATGAATTCATTTTATTAAGTTCATAACCTGAACCCTACATGTCCTGTGCCTCCGAAGGTGCGGGGATTCAGTGTGTATTGCTAAAAGACGGAGGTCTGCGAAAGAACCACTTAGTTCAGAACAGCTCTGTGCATTAAACATTGCACAGAAAGAATAGTAACTGCCTGACCCTGAGGACTGGGCTGAGAATAGTATGACCAACAGAAAAACAAGGTGACCCCTAATGCAAGCCATGTTTGCTATTTTAAATTTTCTAATACCCCTATTCAAAAAGTAAAGAGGGCTGGGCTGAGGTTGTGGCTCAGTGGCAGAGCGCTTGCCTCACACAATGTGAGGCCCTGGGTTCGATCCTCAGCACTACATAAAAGATAAATAAACAAAATAAAGATATTATGTCCATAAGAGGGTTGGAGGTGTAGCTCAGTGGTTGAGTGCTTGCCTAGTATCCACAGCATGGAAAAAAAAAAAAAAAAAAGTTTAAAAAAAAGGTGAAATTAATCTTGCATTTAAATCAGTATGTCCACAATTTTGCCATTTAAATATGTAATCAACAAAACTATTAAAAATATGTTTTTAGCCCGTGCTGTGGTGCATGCTTGTAATCCCAGTGGCTTGGGAGGCTGAGGCAGGAGGATCACAAGTTCAAAGCCAGCCTCAGCAACAGCAAGGGGCTAGGCAACTCAGTGAGACCGTGTCTCTAAATAAAATACAAAATAGGGCTGGGGTGTGGCTCAGTGGTCAAGTGCCCCTGAGTTCAATCCCTGGCACACCCCCCCCCATTGTTTTTATACCCAGTTTTCAGAATCTGATACTCCATAGGAGCACTGAGTGTCTGAGACTGTTGAGGGCCGAGCAGGGCGGGTTGAGACAGGAGAGAGGAGCCGCACACACGCCTGCCCAGGCCGCCAGGCTCTCCACCTCCTCCCTGCCAGGGGCTCCAGCTCTGGCCCCTCCCTTCAGCCTCCGCCCAGTCTTCTGGTTCTCCAGACAGCAGTGGGCTGGCGTGGGAGGGGAGAAGGCAGCTAAATCTGGGGCTGAAGACAGAAGGCGTGCGCCCACTCCTCCAACCTTGCTGCGGGGCGCCCTTGTCCTGAGACCTGCAGATGGAGACCGGCTGCCCCAGCGCTGGCTGCTCCTGGGGCAGTTCCCCCTCCGGTGGCGCCCTGACCCAGTGCACTGTGCAGCGTCCGGCGGGAAGGAACATTCTGATCCAACAAACGCGTCCTTGGCAGAGGGAGGAACCAGATGGTGCTCCCCAAGCCTGCCAGGCATCTCAAGGAGGAAAAGCCTGGCTGAGAGGGGGTTGGGGACAGGGCCAGTGTAGGGAAGATATTTATGCATTGTGACACCCCTCATGCAGATCAAATGCAAATTTCCAGATTGGGTCCATCCAGCCTTTTGGCTAATGGCTTCTCAGACAGAGGGTGGGGCTGGAAGCAGGTGTTGTGTGGAGGCACGGGTCTGACTTTGCATTTCTGGCTTTGCTGGTTGCTGTGTAACCTTGGCCAAGTTACTTACCCTATCTGAACTTCAGTTTTCCTTATCTGTAAAATGGGATACTAATATCTTCCTAAGAAGACTACTGTAGAGATTCCTCTGTGATAATACTTGCTGAATATTGATGAAAATTGAAAAGGGTGCTGGAGGGGTGTTAGAGTCACTATGGAAGGCAGGGATGCTGACCTGGCACCTTTGAATGAGTGCCCTTTTCTATTTCCAGGGAGAGGTGAAGGACAAGGGGCAGTGGTGGTGTTGGGGGCTAGATGCAAGCAGGAGATAGTTAATGGAAGGGAGTCAGAGGTGACAGGTTAACAGGTCAGCCCCGCCACTGCCAGCCCTGCATCTGGACTCCTGGGCTCTTTCTAAGGATCTAGTTTAAAACATTCTGCCCTTCCCCTTGTCTGGGACACTTCTCAGCCAAGCAGGACTGGGCTGGGCAGAGGAAGCACCGGGGCTACTTGTGGGCGTTGTCTTGGGGGAGGTGCATCTGTCATTACTCACAATGCCACCCGGCCTCACTATTCTGGGAGGCAGGCCTTGCTCCTTCCTTGGGGGGGGGCACACCTCGAGGAATCCTACCTGGGTCAGGTGAGATGCCTTGGGGACAGGACAGCCCTAGGCTTACGGCCTGTAGCCCACTCTCTCAGGAATGGGCAGCTTTTCCTAAGGCCTGGTCCTGACAACTCTCGCTGCTGTTGGGGGGCTATAGTCTGCCCCTGCTGTGGCGTGAGGCAAGGGACCCACCAAGGCTCCCCAGGGCGCTGGCCAACTCTTCAGAAGGAAGGGGCGGAGCCTGACTCTGGGAGGCTGCCACCTGCAGGGCTGGAATAGAAATAGGCCCTGCCACCTTCCGTGTTTACAGAAGCAAGGCCACGGGTCTGATGTCATTTTAAGGCAAATGTTGAAGACATTAACTGCATAATAATTTTCACTTAATCAACTCTTCTAAAAATTAGACTTTATGAAAATTTTTGGCAGAATACCTTATTATCAGACACAGAGGATTTTTCGAAGCAAGATTTTAGTTTTTAAATGTTTCCAAATATTTTTTAAAAATATATGTATACATGGGCTGGGATTGTGGCTCAGCGGTAGAGCACTCACCTAGCACGGGTGGGACCTGGATTCAATCCTCAGCACCACATACAAATAAAGGCATTGTGTTGTGTCCATCTACACCTAAAAAATAAATATTAAAAAAACCCCAAAATATATATGTATACATATATTTGTTACTAGAGATTGAACCCAAGGGTGCTTAACCACTGAGCCACATCCCAGTCCTTTTTTTTTTTTTTAATATTTATTTTTTAGTTTCAGGTGGACACAATGTCTTTATTTTATTTTTATGTGGTGTTGAGGATCGAACCCAGTACCCCATGCATGCCAGGCAAACACTCTACCACTGAGCCACAACACCAGCACCCCAGGTCCTTTCTATGTTTTATTTAGAGAAAGGGTCTCATTAAGTAGTTGCTTAGGGCATGGATAAATTGCTGAAATTGGCCTCAAATTTTCGATCCTCCTGCCTCAGCCTCCTGAGCCACTGGGATTACAGGTGGGCGACACTGTGCCCAGCTTAAAAATCTTTTTAAAAAACTAACAATAGAGCAAACAAAAATATACTTAAAATGTTAATGAGCAAAACCAACTCCTTGTCCTGATGTGGCTCTTGTGAAGACGGCATGAAGCGCAGCTCCTGCCTCAGCAGGCCAGGTATCTGCCCCCTGCCCTTGGTCACCACCACCTGGCTCTCCCACTGCTCTGACAGTTCACTTCAGAAGTCTCCATCACAGGTTTCTGGCGCTCTGCCCGCCCCCCTCCCAGGCTGAGGGCCCTCAGGATTCTGCCATCCTCACTCCTGTTCCGGGTCCCAGCTCACATCCCTCCTCTGAGTTCCCAGGCTCAGGCAGGAAAGCTTCCCAGCTCCTTCAGGTTCCATCCATCTAGATAGCAGAACTGGGCGCCAGCCTCCTGCAGGCCCCACCTCTGGTTGCTGACTCTACCTCACCTCCAGCACCAGCACCTCTGAGCCTTTCCTGCTGCTGCCTCTGCTCAGGGACTCCTTGTCCAACACATCATAACTTCAGCTGTTGGGCACCTGGCCTCTGGCTGGTGCTCTTACATCTAACCCTGACCCAGGTCTCTGTGTAAGGCCTTTGGTGTTTCATGCTGCACATGGGCGGAAGTCAGCCTCCTCAGCTCCTCCCTGCACAACTGACTAGTGGGTGCTCTCTGAAATAAACTCTTTTTTGTTTTTTTCCTGTTGGTACTGGGACCCAACCTAGGGACACTGTACCACTGAGCTACACCTGCAGCCCCTTTTGTTTTTTATTTTGAGATAAGTTGCCCAGGCTGACCTCAAACTTTCCATCCTCCTGCCTCAGTCTCTAGTGTCGTTGGGATTACAGAAGTGCACCTCCACACCTGGCAATAAACTCCTCTTGGTATCTGGGACGCTGTGGGCTACTTCACACTTCCCTGCCTTTGCTCAGGCTGTTCCCTGGGCCTAAAACACTGTTCCTGCCACCTTGACCCAGGAAGAAGACTATTCATGGTTCACGGAATCTGACCCCCAGCATCTTTCCCCCCAGACTTTCTAGTCAGAGCCTTTGTCAGAGCCCCAGCCTCCCAGAACCTGTGTCCCTTCAGTGACAAGCTGCCTACCCTCTCTCCCCACACCCAGGCCAGACCCAGCTCCTCAAGGTGTGGGGCTGCTTCCTACTCCTTTGTCTCCAATCCCTCACCCAGCCAGGCCTGCCATGGGGGTAGCTGCTATTGGCTGTCCCACTTGCTTCTAAGAATAGATTCTGATCAAGAGGAGATTCCTATTGGCCAGAGCAATTGGTTCTGGGCTGGCTGCCTGATGCCAGCCAATCAGAGCCCTTCTTAGGATTTGTCCAAGTGGAGGCAGACAGAAGGACATGTCCTTGAAGGATCTGGAGCCCCTGCTGCTGGAGCAGGAGGGAAGGAAGCCTGGGGGAGGCAGCAGAAAGGAAGGGTGGGTCCAGGGCACCAGAACTTCAGTCCCCATCTCTGTCCCCAAGGCATCCAGAACGGCCTGGTTCCTCACAGTTCCTGCAGCTCTCAGACCTAACTTGGCAGTCTTCTTTGCAGTCGCTAAGAGTTGGGCTTCTGTGACCAGGGGGTCCTGTCTTTTGCTAAGCTCACAATTTGGTGAATGAAACGATGGGAAAAAAAGTCCTAAATTGGTAGATGAAATAGTTCAGTGGGGAAGCAAAGAGGGACCAAATGTCTAACTCCTGGGACCCCTTCCTCTTCACATCACACATCACGCTGCACTGTCACTGTCACATCCAAGCTCTGCCAGCCTGAGGCGGTATCAGCAACCCACAGCTGTTCAGCACCCGACAGTTACAAGGTCCCTCGGGAACTCAGATCTGAGTCTTCCACCATCCCAGGATGCAGGCAGGGTGGTAACTTCATCCTCATTTTACAGAAGACACTGATGGCAGAACAGGGAATGACTGGCTCTAGGACACCCAGGAGAGTGGCACATTCTATGTAACATATACAATAAGAGGGACATCCATGTTTATATAAGAGCTACCTCTCTGATCCCTAGTACTGCCAAAAAAAAAAAAAATCTACATCTCAGTGTGAATGAATTTCAGATGCAAGAGAGCCCCATTAGAAAAGGGGAAGGGAATGTCCCACCTAGACGGGACCACAGGAGCTGGAGGTGGGAGGCCTGCCATAGCCACCTACTTCACAGGTTGGCCTCAGTCTGGCCTGGACTCACCAGTCTGCAGCTGCGGGTGTCAGTGAGCAGCACTGTCTTCCCTGGGAGCCTGCAGGGATGGATAGACACCCATTAGTTGAGGGCCTAGGGGGAACCCAGAGAGTTCAAGGTCCCCAGAGGAGAGGACAGTCCCCGAAAGGGCTCAAGTTCCTCTCTGGAGCCTCATCTCCTTAGGGAGCCTCTGGGGGCAGTCAGGGGATCCCAGAGTGAAGCCTGGAAGCATGTTCCTGACTCTGGGCAGGAATCCTCTCTGACATTCCAGAGAGGTCAGAGCTACCGCAGGGTGGCTCTTGGGGCACAGTTGGTGTCCCCATCTAAGGGATGCCCTTGGAGGAGGAGAGAGGAGGTTGGGGGGTGTGCTGTGGACTTTCATCTTTCTCTGGGGCCTGCCTCACAGGCAAGGTGGGCTTCATGTATTGAAGTCTCCAACATCAAGCACTGCCAACCCAGGACCATGATCCCTGGGGAAAGGCCAACCCTCTCCAGGCCCCCACTCTTTGTCCTTAGAATATGTCCTTAGTCAGGATCCCGAAATCACAAAGGGACCATGTCCACACTAGGTCATAACCTCAAGGGTCCATTCTTAACATGCGTAAGCACAGGAAACAAAAGTACTACCCCAGTTTTTTGATGGCTTGTTCTGGAAACCATATCCTTGGCTAGATAGAACCATCATTTTTTGAACTGTAGGTACTTAATAGCATGCAGGAGCACACAACTGGCCCAAAGTTCAGATGCTGGGCCTCAAATCACATCCCTACTCTGTCGCTTGCATCCGTGGGACATTTAACCCTACTAAGCCTCAGTTTCTTTATCTGTAAAATGGAGGTGGCAACACTTCCCTTCATGGGATTATCTAGAGGACTAAGCAGTTAATGTGTGTGTGTGACATTTCAGAGTGCCAGGCCCAGAAACAGCACTGGGGGCACGTGTGGATACTATGACAAAGATGCCAGATGCCTCACCTATGTAATTTATTCACTCCTCAAATATATATAACAGAGGATTGTTATTATTAAAACACTATCATCTCCATTTCACAAATGAAACTAAAGCTCAGAAAGCTTCAGTTATTTGCTGTCCCCTAGATAGTGAGGGCTGAGGTCTGAATTTCTGTCTGTCCAGTGCTCCCTCTCCTCCCATGAGGTGCTGGATTGATCCCAACCTGATTGGGATCAATGATTGACAGAACTTGCCCTGTTGGCCTCCCGCCTTCTCTAGCTCACGAGTTCTCGTCACCAGCATGGAACCCAGGGTTACCCACTTAGGTGCTGACCTAGGCAGCCCAGGCCTCCTTGTCTCCATTCACTGCTGGACTCTGAAGCCTCCCCCAAGCTGGAACCCTGCCTGCCTCCTTTGGCTCTCCCGCCCCATGACTCATGCAGGGCCCTTGTTTCTCACAGACTGGGGAGTTGATGCCTCAGTCTCTAGCACATTCTCTCCTCAAAGGGGAAGTCTTGGACCTTCTCTGTCGTTTCTCAAGTCCCCAGGTAAATTCAACCACTCCAGGCAGAGGTTCTTCCCACTGCCCAAATGGGAAGTAGATGACATTGTGGGGGAGCTTCCTCACCTGGCTCCTCACACCCTGGTCCTCAACTGTCCTTGCATCCCTTCCTCTGAACTAGAAACAGAGGTGTCCAGCCCTCTATCAGCCCCTGGAGGTGCCCCAGCTGTGATGGCCTGCCTGCTAGAGCCCCTGTGGCTCTTCCTGCTCAGCTTCCTCTGCCTTCTTAGTCCCTACCCCACCACAACCTCACACCAGGATTCCCTGAGGATTGCCCTCTTCAGGGGCCTGGACTTTGGCCCACACCTGCCTTGACCTCTTTCATGGCCACCATGTCTCACCTTAGGATGTCACTCCTGAATTCCCAGTTGGGAATTCCCAGTTTGTGGAGTCACAAGAAGAAGGGAAAAAGAGTTTCTCTGACAGAGCCCAGGCTTGGTCTTTGTCTCAGTGAAACAGCGGGTTCATAAGCTCTGGGACCCCTCCCCCAGCTTGGGCTCACTAAGGCCTGTTGTCTCAGAAAGGACTCCAGGGGGAGGCTCCTCTCCCCATCCCTCATCCTCATCTTCCCTCAGACACCGCGGTAGGGAAGCTTGGCTCCAAAGGCCAGCGGGTCCCTCCCTCATCCTACCTGGGGTGAAGAGGCTCTGGCTTCTCTTCGGTAACCAAGGGAAACCAGGAGGGAAGCTTCTGGAGCTGCAGGGTTGCAGCCCTCCCGCTGGGGATGAAGGGACAGTCTTTCTAAGAGGACTGGGGCCCCAGGACTTAGGAATGCTGTCCCTCGCCACCTACCCGATGTCTCACCTTCCCCCTCCTATTCCCACAGTTCCCCACTCCCCTCACGGGGACCCCAGGCCTTGGGGCCAGTTTGCAAATAGTGACGGGGTAGGGCGTAGGACGGAGAAGTAGGGGCGGATCCCCGCGAGGGGACCCGGGTAGGGTGGGGACAGAGCAGTACGTGCCGACCTGGACCAGCGCTTCCCCGCTGCTGGAAGTGTGGGGCCGAGGCGATGGGCTGTGTGTGAGGAGGGCGCTGGAGCCCCAGGGGCTTCTGGGCCCCGCTCCCGTGCGTAGGATCGATCGGGAAGCCCTGGGTGGGTGTCCCCTCTCCCAGAGGTCCCTCTCCAGCTCCGCAGGCCGGGCGCTCGCCCTCACTGGCCGCAGGGTCGTTAGGGACGCCTGCGTCGCCAGGGGGCGGGCCGTGCGGTCGTCGCAGGGCGAGGTGTGGGGAGCGCAGGGGGCGGCCCCACGGTGGTCCTGCGGGCGGGCACGCGGCTCGCTGGTCGCCCTGGGGCTTCCTGGGGAATCGGCTGCGTGGGGCGGTTGGTAGCGGGAGCTCCGTGACCTTGGGCGAGGCCTGGTGCTTCTGGGGGCGAGTTTGGGAATGGGTAGACTTTTTGTGTGGAGAGGTGACGGCAGAGCTCTTGCAATGGGTGCTTTGGCCTCTGGATACCGTTGTGTGAAAAGGTTGGGGTGGGGCGGGGAGGTGGATCGGGAAAAGCATGGTGGACACCGAGGATGGGAAGGCTCTTTCCGGGTACCCCCAGGAGTCACTGAGCTTCCTCAAGGCTTCCTGCAGACCCACACCTTTCTCCAAGATGTAAACAGGGGGCCCCCGAGGCAGGAAGCATCCAGGCCTTCCCAGCCCCAAGCTGAGTGCCAGCCCCACTTCCGGACCTGGAGTGACCAATGTGGTTGGTGTCCCTGATCTCCAAGGGGCTGGCTACTTAAAAAACAAACAAACAAAAGAAACCAAAAAGAAAAACATATTTCTGGAGGGGAGAGGCAGCCTAGTGGGGGTGGTGTCTCATGAAGGCCAAATTCAGCTTTAACTTCAACTCTGTGGATTACTGTCACTTAGTTACCTTGGGTAAATGAATATCTCAGATGCTCCACTATCAATAGAATGGGAATACCACAATGCACTGCGGTGCCCAGGGAGGAGCTGGGCCTGTGGTGAGCATCAATGAACAGGAGCAGCTGGGACACTCCTAAGGTACAGCTATGCAGTCCAAAGTCAGGCACCAGGGCTATCAGCCCCTTCAAGCCCTGCATGGGTTTACCCACAAATCATCACGACTCAATCAGAATGAGACACTGTGCGAGGAATGACACCCTGCATTCCAACACTTTTTTTTTTTTTTTTAAACTAGACAACCCCAAAATCTGGTAGCCAGGGGATCCCTGCACTGAAGATGGGTCTACAGAGGTTCTGTTTTTCATCTTGCAACAGGATTTGGGAACAGGCAGTTCTAGTGCCTGGCTTGGAGCAGGGTGAACTCATACTGGGGTGGGGAGGAGGAGCCATCCCTCCAGCCCCTGACCTCCTCCAGCTCTGGGCAGCTGTTTGCTTCAGCTCTGGCTGGGGCAGGTGCTGTGTAACTGGTTTTAAAAAGCCTGTGGTTGGTCTGACCCCATGCTCTCTCTGACCTCTCACCTACTGTCCCAGCTCCCTGCTCAGTGGCACTGGCCTCTTCACCCCACTGCAGGGGCCTGCACTGGCTGCCCTCTGCCTGGAACACTTGTCTCAGACTTCTGTGGGGCTCACACTCTCACCTCGGGCTCCTAGCTCGGATGTCACCTGAAGGTGAGGCAGTAATGCTACCCCATCCTCCCGACCCCCAGTCTCACTTTAGTTTCATCACTGTCTAACACCCTCTTCTTTTTTTTCTGTGCTGGAGACTGAACTCGGGGACTCACACATGCCAGGCAGGTTTTCTAATTCTGAGCTACATCCTCAGCCCTTTTTAATTTATTATAGGGTCTCACTAAATTGCCCAGGCTGGCCTCACACTTGCCCTCCTCCTACCTAAATCTTCTGAGAAGCTGGGATTACAGGCCTGTGTCACCGTACCTGGCCCTTGTTTCTCTTTCTTGCCTATTTCTCCCACTAAAAGCAAGTCTGAAACTTGCTTCCAAGCAGAAACTGTCTGGTGCTTGCCACGGTCTCAATGATTGAGCAGCTCCCGTTGCTCAGTGTTCTCAACAAGTCAGCAGGGCCTGAACTAAAACAAGAAGTCACTGAGAGGGTTGGCTCTGCTGTCATGACTTTCACATATGACACTTCTAGATTCCGATAGCCAGGAAGCCCTTAGTTGGCACCCAACTAAGCCCACCATTCAGGACCTGTCTGAGCACTCTGAGGATGAGGATGGTCCAGACTAGGATCCTGGGTGGCCTTTCTGCTCTGTGTGAGTGGTCGGACTGGTGATGGGGCACCAATGCCATGCTGGGAAGAGAAAAAATTTTTTTTGATGGTGCTAGGGATTGAAGCCAGGGGCCTTGTGCATGTGAGGCAAGCAATGGACATTGTTTTAAGTAGAAGAAACTTCCAGAGCTTCCTATCCTTTGTGAAGTACTTTTTTTTTTTTAAAAAGAGAGAGAGAGAGAGAGAGAGAGAGAGAGAGAGAGAGAATTTTAATATTTCTTTTTTAGTTTTTGACGGACACAACATCTTTGTTGGTATGTGGTGCTGAGGATCAAACCCAGGTCGCACGCATGCCAGGCGAGTGCGCTACCGCTTGAGCCACTTCCCCAGCCCGTGAAGTACTTTTTAATAAGCAATCACAGCCACAACAGCTCGTGTCTTCACATTGGGTGGGGATGGTGTGTCTCTGGGCCCACTTCTGCTTCCCCTGGCCCATGTCTCCTCGTGTCATGCAGGGCCCAGAAGAGGTGGCCCAATTCCGCTCAGCCACTTGGCCTCCAGCCTCGAATCCTCTCTGCTTTAGCTTACTGGAGGTTCTGCTGGCCCTTTCGGGGTGCCAGCTGCGTGCCTTTAGTCCATGTGAGTGCCAGGGTGGACCTGGGTCAGAGCTGGTTAAGGGCGTAGGTTCGGGCTGTCCTGAGGGCTGCTTCCAGGTCTGTGGTGCTTCCAGTGCCCTGGGCCACCACTCGAGAGCCCCAGGCCTTGCCCCCCATGTGGTTGCACACGGCCAACGCCCATCCCTCTGCCGTGAAGGTGGGTGTGGCACCCTGAGGACAGAATCAGAAGGGGAAGGGATACACAGCAGCCCTCGCTGCCAGCCTCCACTCAGCGGACCCGCAAGAGTGGCATCCTGGTGACCAGCAGCCCCTCTATAGCTGTGGGCAGAGGCTGATGAGCATCTGTGACTTGTTGCAGGGAAGTGAGCCTGGGAGGGGTGGGGATTAGGGAGTCCCACAGTGTCTTCTGGGGCAGCAAAGGGCTATCTTTAGGGAAAAGGAAACTGCCCTATGCCCATTCTGGGATGTCCCCTAGGCACCTCCACTCAGCCCTGACCTTCTTGTCTGGGAGGAATAAAAGATACAGAATCAGAGAGCTGGACTAGGAGCTGCCAGGGGTGGGGTGCTCTCCCGCTTCCCTTACCTGGGCCACCTGACAGGCACACAGCACGTTGCCCACTGGCTGGGGGCTGAGAAGGAGCACGGATGTGCTGGGGGCCTGTGCGCACAGCTGCCGCACCACCTTCACCAGCACCTGGTGAGAGGACACAGGGGATTGCCTAGCTTCCTAGACTCTCAGATACCTCCCAGCCAGGACCGTGTCCTCCTCGGGCCCTGAGGCAGCCCCCAGTGCCAGCACTCACTGATAGGGACTCAGCAGGGACTGTGTCCACTATCAGAGGCCCCTTCGTGTGCCTCTTGAGCAGCTCCTCGGATTTCTTTGCAGCCTGTGAGGCAAGAAGGACAGTAGAGGGGTCAAGCTGAGAGCCAGATTTCCCATCATCCCACCTCAGAATTAAGCCCCAGTCCAGATCCCCATGTGCTTCTGTGCCCTCCCTCAGTGAAGGTCATCAGCTCTGAGTGGTGGTGGCAGCAGGGGCTCTGCCAAGGATGTCCTCGTTTTTTGTGCTCCACCCACGTCCTTCCCGCCTGCCTTGCCTCTTCCCTTTCATCATAGCTCTAGGCCCCTACAAATAAGTCACTGAAGGTGACAGGAGGAAGGCTGAGCACAGATGGACCAGGAGGGGAATGACAGTCACAGGGCAATGCGGGTTCAATGGGGTTAATCAAGTTAGGTTTCCTGGAGGAAAAGCTAGGGGAAAGACAGTTTAGCAGAGAGAAAAATGGGGACACAGTTTGAGATGGCTCCTGGCTGGCAGGTGAAGGAAGCAGTGGTCACCAGCCCCTTCCCCTTTGTCCTTGCATAGGCTTTGACTTGCCTCCCACCACCCCAGCCTTTTTAGGGGAAAGCTTCTTGGGGTTCACAGGGGCGTGGCCACACCCCCTCTTACCTGGCCCATCTCCAGCTTGCGGATGGCTGTGTTGGCGCGACGCTGGAGCACCTTCAATGTGGCCTGAAGCTCCCGCCGCTGCCATTGGGGCATCATGGCAGTGTCCACAGCCTGTGCCAGGGTGTGTCATTTTACCCTTTCCCCGGGTCATGCCTCTGAGGCAGGGAGCAGCAGGGATGGGGCGGACACCTCACCCTCCCTGCAGACAAACCCCTGGAGCCCAAACCAACTGGAGTGCTGGGTAGAGACTGGAAGGGTCCAGGGAAGCCCGGGAAGGGAACAGGACCAAGAGAAGGCGGGAAACAGCTCCCTTATGGGGATGGCCCCTACCTCCGTGAGCCGTCCCATGTCCTTGGATAGCCGCTGTGCCTCCCCCAGGTCCTGGGTGCCTCGACTCAGCCGCTCTGTGGCTGCTTCCACCTCCTGGGTGAGGCTCTGGCCCACTTCTCGGGCCTGCAGAGAGGAGACAAGATGGTCAGAGCTTCCAGGCTTATTGTCACCTCCCTAGGACAGGGGCTTGCAGCTGGTCAAGGTCAAATTAGAAATATTTAACAGCCAAGAGCTCATCAAGGTAATAGCACCAAATAATCTTACCAGGTGCCAGTTGCCAACAGCTGGCCTGGCCACACCAGTGTGCGAATATGAACATTGGTTCCACTGCGGGGCATCCCTGAGCCCAGCAGTGTTGGCTGTGTGTCCCCTGCCCTCCTTGTCCACACCTGGAGTCTCCTGGGCCTACTGGTGCACTGACCTGCTTGGCCTGCTCCCCGGTGACGGCCAGCAGACGAGTGGTGCCTTTGGTGAGCTGGTGCTCCCCGATGATAACCAGGTCCCCCACATCCCCTGTGCGTAGCAGGTGCCTATGGGAAGGAGGAGGCAGGACAAAGTCAGAAGGGATTATTGGAGAGAAGGGAGAAGCCTGAGGCCCAAGTGGAGGTGTGGTGGCTCCAAAGACCATAGAAAGGTAAAGATCTAGGGCCCCGGGTCAGGGCAGCAGAGAGAGACTCACGTCCCACAGCAGAGCTCCACGGAGGTCT